CACATAAAATATAGCGCAATCTTCAACATCAACTGATTATCATAAATTAACACACATAAAATATAGCGCAATCTTCAAAATCAAACGATTATCATAAATTAACACACATAAAATATAGCGCAATCTTCAAAATCAAACGATTATCATAAATTAACACACATAAAATATAGCGCAATCTTCAAAATCAAACGATTATCATAAATTAACACACATAAAATATAGCGCAATCTTCAACATCAACCGATTATCATAAATTAACACACATAAAATATAGCGCAATCTTCAAAATCAAATGATTATCATAAATTAACACACATAAAATATAGCGCAATCTTCAAAATCAAACGATTATCATAAATTAACACACATAAAATATAGCGCAATCTTCAAAATCAAACGATTATCATAAATTAACACACATAAAATATAGCGCAATCTTCAAAATCAAACGATTATCATAAATTAACACACATAAAATATAGCGCAATCTTCAAAATCAAACGATTATCATAAATTAACGCTTTTGGAGCCAAGCCTCTATAGGATTTGTTTTTATCACATATTAGCATATACTTAAAATAGCTGACATAAGGAGAAAGAAAGGTGCTAAAATAAGATTACCACTAATCTAAGTATGTTAACAGTATTTCAGCATTATCAGAAATAATAGTGTTCATGTAATCTTTTTTACCTTCATGTTCCTGAAATACATATTCTGTAATGTGTTGAAATTAATGTGAATTTTTCTTCAGAGGAAATCTTTTTAACACATTTTATTCAACCAGATTAAAGTTAACTTCAATCACATTTCCAAAAGTGCTTAAAATTACCGACCGTAACAATTTAGGATAAGTAGTTTGCTTTAAAATGAACAAAACTGTCATCTTACAAAAGATTACAACATCATAAAACATAAGTAATCAAAGATAACAATTTAATCTCACATCAGTGAATATTATCAATAAATGAAGGCACCAAATGAGTATTCTGGTAATGTGCATTCCTAGATGCACATCCATGAAATTTTGGTCTCACTAGGAACTATACTTTCTTGGGAATGGACCTGCTAAAAATATATGTTTGGATCACCTGAAAAATGTAGGTCAGATCATCCAGGTACGGAAGATTCTGCATCCTAAACAAATCTGGTAATGTAAATCCCTAGATGCATCATCCATGCAGATTCGGTCCAAGTTGACTTTGTGTTACTTTGGATGACCTAGCTGCTCCAAAACCTTTAATTTGGTCACTCATCTGGAAATGTAGGTCTGATACAGACTGGTACTAAGCATGACATCTGATGCATCATTCATGCTAGTTCAGTCATCATAAGGCTTGTAGTTATTTATGAATGGATCTGTTCCAAAAACTTAAACCTGCAGCTTATTTATATCAGATCCAGCATCTGAAGCAAGTCTGGTAGGATGCATCCCTAGTTGCATCACCATTGCAAGTTTGGTCATCGTAGGTATTTAAATCAGTACTTGGAAAACCTGCTCTGAAAACTTTAATCTGGTCACTCATGGGTCCAAAAACGTAGGTTGACTTATCCAGCATCTGAAACATGACTGGCCGAGTACATACCTATATGCATCATCCATTGCAAGTTTGGTCACCATACAGTAACTTAGGAATGGACCTGTTACTGAAACTTATCCAGAAATGTAGGTCAGATCCAGCATCCCAAGCATGCCTGGTAGTCTGCATCCCTAAATGCATCATCAATTCAAATTTGGTTACTATTGGGCTTATAGTAACTTGGGAAGGGATCTCCTCAGAAAAACTGTAGCCTCAGTCTCTCAACCAAAAAAACTTACATCAAATCTATTCATCCAAAAACTTTTGAACTCCAAAGTAAATTTTGTATTTTATACTTCCCTAAATACATTTGGTAGTCATACTTGATGGAAACTAGAAATATGTCCATAGGACATGAATGCCCCGCCGAGGGTATATTAGTAATGCAATGTTTTAACACAAATTGAGAAAAGTGAGGTCAAGGTCAAAGGAAAGGTCAAGGTGAAAAAATATTGTTGCAGTTGAATAGCTTACATCAGTATGTATCAGCATATGAAGTTTGACACTAATTTAAGAAAAGTGAGGTCAAGGTCAAAGGAAAGGTCAAGGTCAAAAATTGTTGATGCAGTTGAAAAGGTTACATCAGTATGTATCAGCATATGAAGTTTGATAAAAATATTATGAATGGTTTCTTTAAAACTGAGCTAAACACTAATTTAAAAAAAGTGAGGTCATGGTCAAAGGAAAGGTCAAGGTCAAAAAATATTGATGCAGTTGAATAGCTCTCATCAGTATGTATCAGCATATGAAGTTTGACACTAATTTAAAAAAAGTGAGGTCAAGGTCAAAGGAAAGGTCAAGGTCAAAACATGTTGATACAGTTGAATAGTTCTCATCAGTATGTATCAGCATTTGATGTTTGATAACACTATCTTGAATGGTATCTTTAAAACTGAGCTAAACATTAATTTAAGAAAAGTGAGGTCAAGGTCAAAAGAAAGGTCAAGGTCAAAAAATGTTTATGCAGTTAAATAGTTTACATCAGTATGTATCAACATGTGAAGTTTGATTAGACTATCTTGAATGGTATCTTGAAAACTGAGCTAAACACTACTTTAAGAAAAGTGAGGTCAAGGTCAAAGGTAAGGTCAAGGTCAAAACATGTTGATGCAGTTGAATAGTTCTCATGAGTATGTATCAGCATTTGAAGTTTGATAACACTATCTTGAATGGTATCTTTAAAACTGAGCTAAACATTAATTTAAGAAAAGTGAGGTCAAGGTCAAAAGAAAGGTCAAGGTCAAAAAAAGTTGATGCAGTTGCATAGCTCTCATCAATATCTATCAGCATATGAAGTTTGATAAAAATATCTTGGATAGTTTCTTTGAAACTGAGCTTTGAACAGAGCTTAACGCAAAGTGTGACGGAAGGACAGACGGAAGGACAGAAGGATGGAAGGACGGAAGACGGACATGACAAACACTATATGCCCCGGCCATATTCATGGCGGGGCATAAAAATGTATATTGCGAATTCCCTATGTAATACTTTAACAAATTTGTTATATAGATGTAACACATTATGGATATATAGTAAATTAAATTTTCAGGTCCCCAGAACTTTGCTATAATGCTTTAACTGAGTTTTATTGTGTTGTAATCAGCACCACAATTTATATAGATCAGTATCACACCTAAATCATTTACACTGTCTTGTTATTCACTATACTGTGCTTCTATTATCAGCAAAGTAATTGCTCAATTCCCTTTTCGCCTTCATGTTGCATTTTTATTTTCAATCAAAAATTGGTTTCATTTTTAATGCACTTGAGCAGGGTAAGATTTCACTTTGTCTTGATCTTGTAAATGTTTTATTCATCAAAATGCCCTCTTATGGCACTTGTATAAAAAGCTATGACTAGAGCAGTATTCCTAAGGTGGAACAATTAAACTAAAACTTATACCAACTCAGATTGGATACGATCAAAGTTAAAAATGGTAGCAAAACTATGATTTAACATATCAAATAAAAGTACAAGTATTATGACACATATTTTTGACAACGTATGGCTCTTAGCTCATATTGAAGCCACTTTAAGGCTTTTCATTTCCTTTCCCACTAAAAAGTGATAGAAGAAAGTAATCTTCAGGATTTGTTTACTTTTCTTCTTTCATTTCTTAATGGATTTTTCCCCTTTGTCTTGTTTCTCAACTGAACAGTAACTTCTAAAAACCTTAAAAAATTCTCTGCTCCGCTACTCAGACTCAATCGTATCATGATTTTGTTAAATTAAAAAATAATCATGCTGGAACAAGAAAATGTTTGCATCAGGGCTAATTAGTGGTAAATTTCAAATGAGAAATGGCTGATTATCGCTATGAATACAATCAATGAATGGGTTTATTGCAATTATGTCAATGAAATTCTACAAGATTCAACAGTAAATATTTGACCTGGCATCAATTTACTCAATGTCAAAAATTAAGGCACATTCAAAGTATTATGTGTATATAATTATATGCCAGCTTACATGCATGCAGCTTATAAAATAATCAATGCATAGGCTGCTGTATAGGTATGATTTTTTTTTTTAATGGAGTTACTGTGAAAGAAAGCATGCATACTTGAGCAACAAATATGATTTCATCCTCACTAATTGGCATTTCTGCTTTGTTATAAAGAAATAAAATGCCAAAACCAGTAGTAAGATTTACAGAGCAGTCACTAAGAAATCATTAACAGCATCTTGAACTGTCACAAAATCTTTATATAAATGTTCCAACGAAATGTCATGCTGGTGAATTTGCTGTCAATAACCTCTTGAATAACTCAGTGCAATGTGGAAGATTTGCATGGCTTTACTAGTACTTTTTTTCATCATGCAAGATACTTATCAATGTGCGTTGCTTTCTTGCACAGATGGTATTAAAAAAAATCCCCTTTCTTGCACTGCTGGCATAAAAGTATCCTTGTCTCATACTCAAAAAGTAAGATAAATGTTTATCTTCACAATGAAAAGGCCCATGGCTGTCTGGCTCAGTGGTAAATGTACAAACCTGGTGATAGGGCCCATTGAGACAGTATTGGGCTGTCTGGCTCAGTGGAACAGGTACATACCTGGTGATGGGGTCCGGTGAGTCAGTATTGGGCTGTCTGGCTCAGTGGACAGGTACATACTTGGTGATGGGGCCCGGTGAGACAGTATTGGGCTGTCTGGCTCAGTGGTACATGTACATACCTGGTGAGAAGTCCCGGTGAGACAGTATTGGGCTGTCTGGCTCAGTGGTACATGTACATACCTGGCGATAGGGCCCGGTGAGACAGTATTGGGTTGTCTGGCTCAGTGGTACATGTACATACCTGGTGATACAGCCCGGTGAGACAGTATTAGGCTGTCTGGCTCAGTGGTACATGTACATACCTGGTGATAGGGCCCGGTGAGACAGTATTGGGTTGTCTGGCTCAGTGGTACATGTACATACCTGGTGATAGGGCCCGGTGAGACAGTATTGGGCTGTCTGGCTCAGGGGAAGATGGAGGAGTCAGAGTACTAGAACCAGATCCCATCTTTCCAACTTTACACTGTCATTTTATTGACCCCTGCAAAATTTCACAACTGTTTTAAAATTTGTTATCAAACTGTGATAAGTCCTTCCAATTTTAAAAGAATGTTTGCCATTAGTTTGTTTATTAATATTCATGCAGTTTCCTGAATTCAGATATTTTATGCTCCCAAAGGTAAAGTTTAAAAAGCCCACTCGTTAATTTAATTTTTTAATCAGCCTGACAATGTCCACCGAGTCTACTCGTGTTCTGGGACTCGACAAACTTCATCAATTTTTAATTCTCTCAATGAGAAGCACCAATCAAATTCAGGCTTTCATAAGTTGACATTTAAAAGTAAACATAATAAGTGGTGAAACTTCAATGCACGACTGCTACAAGTTGTTTGTCACTGAAAGGCTTGATGTGATTGGTCTATAGTGATAGGAAAAATAATCAGAATTTGTAATTTCCCCAAAAGACATTGCTGCAGACAGCTCACAAAACATCGAATGAAGTTTGTCAGGGGTCCAACAACCACTAGTGTACTTAGGACCCCTCATGTTGCGATGATGATTTTTATGGTTAAAAATATTAACAATATCCATATCCAGATCTTCAATAGGTCAACCTTCAGTTTGATACTGTAAAATAAACATGTTTTGTAGCACACAAACTTATAAAACATACTTTTATAGCTAAAAATTCTTTTGGCACCAAGAAGACATAAATGACCTTGGGCCAAGATCATGACACACCCCTAGGTACTGGTTTCTAATGTGTCTCTATTACAAAGTTATAAGCAATATTTGATTGATGTTCAGGCATCCAATGTTACAAAGTGATAGGAACAGGTCAATTTGGACTTTTTCTGCAAATGACCTTGAACACCAACTGACCTGGGTCAAGGTCACACGTTTGTTTTCAATAAGCTCCAATCTTCCTGTGACAGGAAAGGAAAAATCCCTTTTTTTTTTGCTTGCCAGTGACTTTGAACTTATAAAAATGACCTTGGGTCAAAGTCATGACACACTCTCAGGTCATTATTTTTTTTTAAAGCATAAACTTCCATTGTTTTTCCATTAAAAAGTTATGCATCAGACAAAAATTATACACTTTCCTGCCAGTGACCTTGAACTTGTTCAACTGGCCTTCAGGTAAGGTCATGTCACACACTATGATCATAAGCAGAAGTTCCTTTAACTTCTCTATTTCAAAGTTACCTCCAATGTTCAGTCTCAATTACAAAGTTTAAATAAATTGCATGGTTAGACAGGAACAGCATGACAGATATAGACATGATGATTTTTGTATACCCCAAAATATGGTTTCTGGGAGTATATAACAAATTAATATACAATTAAAATAGAGGATATAGTGATACAAATTTTTTGAAATGGCACTTCAAAAAAAAAAATACTCAAAATTTGATATTTTGCAAAAAGATTTGCTCTAGTATACAACTAAACACTTTAAAAGAAATATATTATTGTTCAAAAAGATTACAATTAATCTGAGAAATGTGTAATATTGGTTTTATAAGTAAAGTTAATGCATGCTCTGTTCAGAAAACCAGTACTGCTCTACTGTGGCTATTCAAAACAAAATGAAATTGAAAAAAAGTGATGATTTCATAATTTGTATTTAAAAACTAGATCCCCTTTCAAAACCATTTTTTCAGTGAATTTGTAATTTTTTTTAACTGCATGAACAGAATAATTAAAGAATGAATAAAAATTAACATGTTTATAGAGCATGCATAATCAGTTACCTGAAATTTAATATGCAACAAATTTATAACTTACTGTATGTTTCAAAAAAACGTACCAAAGTGTCATTATCATTGATTTTTCTTCCTATTTCATGCTTATTTCTGTTGCTAGGGTATATACTATTAATTATTACCAGGTAGATCACATTGCAAGATTGAAAAGAGTGATGGGTGTCAAATCATAAATAAACATAACATGTACAGCTATTCTGATCTTTGTAATGTAATCACAGTTTGTCGTTCTAGTGTGAAAATCAGACATTTCAGATTTGTCTCATATACCCACACAGACAATGGTTTATGTCAACTATAGTGCCATATATAGAATAAGAGTGGTAAGTCATTGATCAAAATCAAATATGCAAAATAATGTCCACTCACGGATGTACAGGGGCCCAACCAGGCTTTATAGATAGTACACAACAGGTGAGAGCAAAACCAAAGCTTTTACCAGTAAGTGGCCACGGATGAACAGATGTCCCAATTAGTACAAATCAATTTTGAGAAATTTCAGAATGCAATTACAATGCTTTTTATTTCTAGGCTATTGAATTTAAAGTGAATTTAGTCTTTTATACTTGAAAAATTAAATTTTTGTATGAAAAAAAAACATGCACATGTAAATTTTTAATTGTTTACAGTACCATATATATAATCACTTCCATCAATTTTGAAGAGAGTCATTAATTGATGCTCACATCAAAGATACAGAGTATGTGTCCTAAATAGTTTGTTATAGTAACCCATGCTAGTTCTGGTGATTACAAAAAAACAAAACAAAAAAACAAAACAAAAAAAAAACACACAATCGCAGGTCTTCCCCAAATGTCAGAAAAAAATAATTCAATTAGGATTTCAAAAAATATTCACTAAAGTATACAAGATCAAAGCAAAGTTAAAGTTTGCAATTATTTACAGCTTTGGGGAAAAATCTGTTGTTGTTCATTGCTTTTGAATGGGAACTGTTTGTAGGATAAATTGTTATTGCATTTTGGGCCCCCTGTCTTTGATCACAAACAATTCCACAGAAGTGTAAAACGAGCCATTTCTCTTTCAAAAGAGCCTTCATGTACACACACCTGAAGGAAATTTCATGCAAGGATAGACAGAAATTTTATGTTTGCAGCCTCTGCTTTTAACTCTAAAAATGTTCATGGCTATCAGATGCTTTGATTCATGCTGCATTTGTATAAATTAATATAAGGAATGAAAGTATACTACAGTGTATTTAATAAAAATATTAAAACTGAAACATCTCCCATTGACTATATCAGATATATATATATTATATATATATGTATCTGATTCAGATCAAGAAAACCTAGCTGTTTAATATCAGGATTTCATACAAAAATTCAAAACAAGAGGCCCAAGGGCCTTAATGGTCACCTGAGTATAATACAACACCGTAAAGGATCCATAGAAGCATAAAATGAAACAGATAGATGAAGCTATGTTGCCCAAAGGAAAGAGAAGTAGGATGATCAGGGATCAACAAAATTAGTCTAGTACTCAGTAACAAATGTTTAAGTAGATCTGTTTACCTGCCTTACTTACCCCCCATTTGTCACATTATCATGCAGACTAAACAAAGTATTAGTGCTCGAGCATTATTAATAATTCAACAATGGTTATTGCAAAGATCAAAGAAATGCTGCAGCCATTATTCTCCAATAAATCACAAATGTCATCAACAAATTATCAATAGCTTAATATCGGTTTCCTCTAATTTTGACAGCTCTTACTAGGAAAAGGACCGAGGCCTCTTCTGATTGTGAAACAAATTAGTGAGAAAAAAGTTAACTTGGAATTCAGATTACATCGTACTTTTTCCAATTCCTGAAGTGCAAATGAATGAGAAGCAGTGTTCATTTTTGACGTAAAAATGCACCTATGTTGAAATCTAGCTTCTCCGTTTCTCTATACCGGAGTATAAAAATTAGTCATAGCAGAATAGAATTAATTCCCTTGTCTTCGGTGTTGTTGGAGAATATAATCCTCAGTATATAAAAACCATGCCCTTCCTGTACAACTCACTTCTTCTCTTGATCTTCCAATTACATTATTTACAGTGACTAAAATTATCATCGGTGAACAACAAAGGGAAATAACTTCTCTCAGTAGAATACAAATTCATAGAGAGCCCTGTCCAGCACCAGAACAATTCACCAAGTAGTCCAGAATTTCAAAAATCTAGTAAAAATACTCTTGCTTATTACAACTTTGTACCCTGTCTTCTAGATGCCCAGGATCAAAGAAGAAGATTTTCAAAGAATGAATGCATTTTCAGATTCAACAACACATTTTCTCTATATGATCTATGGAGCCCTGTCTAACACCAGAACCTCTGACCAAGGAACCATGAAATTCATAATTTTTGGAAGAGGCATCCTTGCTCATCATAATCATGCACTTAGTTTATTTGCTAAATACCCAGCACCAGAGTTTTTCTTTTTCAAAGAATTAATGCATTTTCACAAAATAATCAATTAGAGCCCCACCCAAACACCAGAACCCCTGACCTTAGGGCTATGAAATTCACAATTTTGGAAGAGGCACCCTTGCTCATCAAAACTTTACATTAGTTTGTTTTCTTAATACCAGCAAAGAAAAAATTCAAAGAAATAATGCATTTTCAATATAATATCAATAGGTTCTCCAACAGCAGTTCTCCTAATCCTGGGACCACAAATTTCACAATTTTGAAAGAGGCACCCTTGCTCATCATATCCATGCACCTGGCTTATCTGCTAAATTAATACAGGGGGAGAGAGGGAGATTTTTAAAGAATTTACTTATTTTCACTTTATGATCACTACTCCAGAACCCCTGACCCTGGAGCCATGAATTTAATAATTTTGACAGAGGGCTCCATTTTTATTACAATTATGCTGACAGTTCGACTGCTTTAAATGTCCAGGAATTAAAAAAGAATTTTTTAAAGATAGCACTATTTTTTTAGGGGGACCATGAAATTCACAATTTTTGTTCCCCTTCACCAATTGATGCTATATGCCAAAATTGGTTGAAATTGATTCAGTGGCTCAAGAAAGGATATGCTGAAAATGTTCAAAAGTTTATGACCTTAACTCACATGACACATGACAACTGACAAAAATGGATAGCAATAGGTCACCTAAGTCTCTCAGGTGATCTAAAATATAAGATACCACAATGACAGCCTTATATTTTAAAGAGTTTTTCCCTACCCGATATACATATCAATAACAAGAAAAGCTTAGAAAAATGTTCCTCCTCTCCA